TTAGTTAAAGTCAGACATTAATACCTATGTATGCCAGCTGGCTTAGTGGTTTAGAGGTTAAGCGTTCGCCCGCAAGAATGATAGGTCATGGGTTGGAAGCTTCCGGTGCGGGGTCGTTGATGTGCACATCTGAGGAGTTCCATACTAGGAAGAAACGGCCATCCAGTGTTTCTATGTTTTTTCATGGTGGCTTAGCTTTAATTGATTCATGATTTCAATTGATTACTTACTTTAAAGCAATTAGTCCTTTTTATAAATTTCGATAGAACAATGAGAAGACGGAGTTGATCTGATGAAAATGTGGTGTATTAGCGCTATACATTTCGAACAATCTGGTGACATACATATATTTGTCAGGGTATTTTTTATATGTAAATTAATAAAGGTCAAACAAATAAAAGTACAATTAAAATAACTAAGGGGAGAGAAAGACTAAGAAATTGTCGTGTTATCCTAGGCCATAGAATGACTTAAGGATTATCGAGGTAAATTCAAGGTTACGACAAATTGTTTTTGTACACATAAGGGTAGTTTAAATTTACGAATAGCCAAGGCTTCAATAAACTTAAGAATTCGTTCTTGACAATTTCTATACAACATTCTAAATGTTGTATGAATGTTAATTTTGTGCCCCGTCTCAATTATATGTTTTGCTATCGATGAGCTTGGTTTTCTACCTCCTACATTGATCGTATCATTTGACATACATTGATTTTGAAGCCATCTAGGCACATGTTCATTGACCCTTGATTGCATTGTTCCATTACTCCTCCCTATGTATATGTGGCCACACAAACATGTAAATTGGTAAATACAATGGGATGTGACGTAATCATTAGTGCATTGTTTGGGTCTATTAGGAATCATGACCTTAGACTTTTCAATCACTACTAACTGTGCAGCAAAATACGTATTCTCGATGGCTGCTTTCAATCTCTGCCTCAAAACTATACTGTTAGATTCGCCTCTATATGGTAGATTGGTATACACTTTTTTCTTTGGCACTGAATAAATTAGAGGTCTTGGTATTAACTAACTTTTGCACGTATTAATAAACTTGAGTGGATAACCATTTGCTATTAATGTGTCAGTCAGTAACTTTTCATCTTTTTCCATCATGTCAGAGGTACATATTCTTCGAGTCCTCTTAAAGAGGCACTTAACCAGACCTCTCTTGTATTGCAAAGGACAGAAGCTATGGAAATTTAAGTATTGTCCCGTCCAAGTTGGTTTCCTATACACTGACCGTCTAATAGTGCCATCATCCCTTCAACTTAAATGTATGTCTAGAAAGGCTAATTGGCCATTACTTTCTGATTCATGTGTCATCACAATATCGTTTTGAACACCATTGAGTTTATCCAATAATCGGTAAACATCAAAATCTTTATCACATATAATTAGGATATCGTCCATATATCTTCTATATAGAGTTGTCTCTCATGGGGCACAAAATTAACATTCATACAACATTTAGAATGTTGTATAGAAATTGTCAAGAACGAATTCTCAAGTTTATTGAAGCCTTGGCTATTCGTAAATTTAAACTACCTTTATGTGTACAAAAACAATTTGTCGTAACCTTGAATTTACCTTGATAATCCTTAAGTCATTCTATGGCCTAGGATAACACGACAATTTCTTATTCTTTCTCCCCCTCTCTTTGTTATTTTAATTGTACTTTTATTTGTTTGACCTTTATTAATTTTCATATAAAAATACCGTGACAAGTATATGTGTGTGACCAGATTGTTCGAAATGTATAGCGCTAATAATAACTTACTACAATCTCTAACCAATCAAAGAAACTATAATGAATATAAAGTAACATTTGAAATTTTACAATTACGTGATTGGTAACAAGTATCTTAGTGATAATTACATCAATCATGGTAACTGATCCTACTTTAATTGGTTCAACTTATATATTATTAAAGATGATCGAATAGTTTACAGATTGGTTTGAACCTAATAGATACATTAAAACAATGAATCATATTAAAGAATATCAATTTAATAATAAAGTCTTATTATCATTCATTATGATATTCAGTTTATTTATATATAATGCAATTCATTTCACTTATTGGAATGTGGATTTTACAACTTATTCAACTAACTACAATGAAATCCATGGTAAGTTATATTATGATAAAGTAATAGTTAATAAAAATATGTTTATCATCAGAGAGGGATACTTATGAATATTATAGTAATTTCAATAGTTCAGATCATGAATCAATTGAAGCTAGACTAACAAGGAAAATCCTGGAAGTATTGGATGGCCGTTTCATTCTAGTATGGAACTTTCCACTAGTGCACATCTACAATCCCAAACCTGGGACTCGAGCATAGGACATTTGGCTTCGCAAGTGAATGCTTAAACTCTAGACCACTGAGCTGGTATCTAGGGCTTTATAGCATAGTATAGATATTTAAACCGGATTGTCCTGACGACTGTAAGCGGCATGTTTTCAACTTTTCCTCTGTTATGCTCTCCGATTCTTGATTCGACAGTATGGGAAATAGTTATCCATTTCGGTATGTTTTCCTGAAGTGTTATAGTAGAGTGACTACTATAGAAAGTGCAACACATAGGACTAGTTTACGTATTATTATTTTTATGTTTATTATATGATCCATTATTAATTGTATTAAGGTAGTTCTATCGTTTAACATTTTACTATCATCCGTCATTCTTGCTAAGTAATTACATAATAATTCTATACTAATTATAACCTGATAATATGCAAGGTACACTTTCGTATTTGAGATCCCTTGATGTCCGATAAGCTAATAAGTGTTTAAGATAAATGCTGAATTATTGAAATATAAAGCTAGAAAGTTGGATACAGTTAGACATTTCCTGACTGAAGGCTGGAAATCGACAGATCAATAGGCGTTTAGATTAAGTTAGGCACGCGCCATGTTTAATCATGTCCGTTGCAACGTATGATTGGTCATGAATAATAATACTCAGCTATAAACGGAATATTATCTTAATTGATGTTGGGTGTGTATCCGTGTAGACTTTATTATTTGACTGTATGCCTATTTGTTGATTAGTTATTGGTAAGAGAAAAGAAAATGAAATGACTGTTTTGACTGTGATAACTTTTTCATGGTTTGGTATTTCTTCGTTATGATGTGTGCTAATGATGTCGACAGATATAAGTAGTATGTGTATCATCAATCGAAAGTGAAATGTCTGGAGGGAGAATGTTAAGAAGATTGAAGAAAAAGAGAATGAGGACAGAATGATTAGTGTGAAATCAAAAGAGCTATGGATTCTCAGACGGTTAACTGATATTTTGCAAATGAAGTATTTACTGCATAGTTCTCAGATTTTACTGATGCATCTTGTATTTTTGTGTCCAAAAACATTTGATTGTTCCCACTTGTGTTCTTGTTCACTACAATATCACTAATAATACGGCTGTGACGAATACAGATACATTTATCTCGTGAGTTTGTATATATTTATATATATATGCCTAAATGCCCTGGTACGGCCGAGTGTGGGGAGAGTCAGTTCTTCCTCTCAAAATTCTCTCAGATGGCTACTTGCATACAACCACTACTAGAGATGTCCTACTCACTGCCTTGTCAAAACAGGGATATTGTTTACAACATTGAGAGGACGAAAATACAATATCTGGCACTTTGACCGGGTTGTTGGACACGGATTCCACACCAAGAGTTCACATGGCCTACAAGAACCTGAATGAACAAATGGCTTATGAACCAATCGTTGGTCACCGGCTACCATGTGACTGAATCTCCTGACGTTGCTCTACTGTTATATGGATCAGACCTTAAGGTCGAAGGCTCGAGGTGTGGCTCCATAAGAAAACTACCTGTTTCGAGCTGTGCACCCGAACAGTATCCCAGTCCCCACACAAATCGATTGATTTATGTGGTGCATGTCTATTTGATGCCTCCTTGAACCAATGTTTATGTGTTTAAATAAATAACTAGATGAAATAAATGATAGAGGGTGAAATAAAATTCATCATTATATTTAGGTCTTCACGTATTGTCTATTTGTATTTGTCAACAATTGATGTTCGTATAAAATTTAAAAATTCGTTCTGAAATGTTGCATTATTTTGTATAGTTTGTGGGTACACATAAGTCAAAGTACTGTTACCTTACGAATCTATCCATGAAATTAATGGACATGGTTTCTTATCGATAAGGTCAGCTTTTTCAATGTAATTTAACAAAACCAAATCATGATTATCGGTTTATGATCTCAATCAAAAACTTAACAATCTTCACAACCCTATTCTGATAATTACCATGTGCTGACTAGTGACTAGCTTCATGAGGGAATTCTTGGAGTTCTAGTGAGAAGCCGTGACTAGTGGAGCTAATTCATGTCGGGTAGAGAGAGGAATCGACCTCAGTACAATGGAAGATGGTCGTGCAATTTTGTGGATTGGTTGAGGTTAGATATCAACACCGTAAGATGCAGGCAAGCTCAGTGGTCTAGTGGTTAGGCGTTCGCGCGCGAGACTGATGGACATATTTCACTTGAATCGCACCACATGTTGTCAGTGTAAACACTAAAGCTTTACATACACTGACAAAACAATATATACTGACATGTGAGATCCACATGACTATAATAAACAAGAATATTTTATGTATCGACATCATTACTACCTGCTATTAATATAAGATTATCATAACTTAATTAACGTCAAAGTTGTATATGATGATCAATCCACATGCTATTTCATATCTCAGTTTATCCTGGTCATGGTCCATAATCATCTCATTCAACGACCATATTTCATCAATTTAGTAGATACACACAATTCGATAGAAATAGTCTTAGAATATCACCTTGTTATCATTAACCAAATTTATTTCAAGTGTATTGATGTAAATACAAAAAATAAAAGATAATCCATTCTATTGAATGAAGACAAAGAATAACCCATCAACTAAATGATTGAAAGAACAACATCAAATGATTGGTTCTTCAATTGAATCTATTGGAAACATGATTCATGTAATTTAGTATATTGACGGTAAACTGACACGAATTTATCATATAGTTCCCACTCTACAAATAAAATTACAATTCAGTAGAGAATCACCATGATTATGTAATTATAGTCAGTGATAGCATGATAAGTGAACCTAATGCTTCATAATATTGTGCTTCAGTGTTTTGAAGTATACACATAGTTCATTGAGACAAGTAAATCATGAGTACCTAACAAATAGTCCTAATTGGAACTTATCAAGATGAAACCTCTATTGGCCATATAGTCAATGAGAAGATTCAAATATCACAGATTGAAATCATGAGTCAGTTGAAGCTAGACCACCATGGAAAACCTGGAAGCACTGAACGGCTGTTTCATCCTAGTATGGGACTCGTGATTTCAATCTGTGAAATTTTTAAAATCTGCCCAAAACCGATTCTGATAATAATCAAGTGCTCACTAGTGACTGACTTCAGGAAAAACTCCCGAAGTTCTAGTGAGAAGCCGTTACCAGTGGAGTACAACCAGGTTTGTTGTGAGATAGGAACTCACTGAAGACAATGGTGTATGGTGGCGCAACTTCGTGGATTGGTTGAAGTTAGACATTAACACCGTTGGATGCCGGCTCAGTGGTCTAGTGGTTAAGTGCTCGCGCGCGAAGCCGGTAGGTCCTGGGTTCAAGCCATGCGTGGTGCGGGATCGTGGATGCGCACTGCTGAGGAGTCCCATACTAGGATGAAACGGCCGTCCAGTGTTTCCAGGCTTTCAATGGTGGTCTAGCTTCAACTGACTCGTGATTTCAGTCTGAAATTTCTAAAAATCTCCACAAAACCCATTCTCATATGATTCAAATAACCAATAAAAAAGTAATCTGAACTTTACACCATTTCATGAGCTAATTGCTAGCTTCACTCAGTAGATAAGTAGAAATCGCGATGACGTTTGAAGCGAAAGGTAGTGGGTTCGAACATAGAAGTGAACATCAAATCTGGGATATAGGTATATCACGCTGATGATTCCGAAATTCGACGAAAATTGCATCCTGGATTCCAGTGCTAGTCACTATCCATCTTTGCTTAGAATGCTTGTGAATTAAGACAATATCGGGGTAATCCTCACAGGATGCATATCTGTCAGTGGGCGACTGATCAATTTTAGTCGTAAACATAACTATTGGTAGAAGGTATGTCGGAAGTTTCAAACATTATAGTTCGTGTCTCCTGTTTAATTGTACATCATATGTAACTGGTACAAGATGAAGAGTTCAAAGTCGATATCTATGAATTATGATACGAATTTAATTACATATTAACTTACGTTTAAGAATGACATCTGATTGATCAATGTACTCAGTTGGTATATATTTCGCTTTTACATCATCTGGTTTTATATGATGATTAATATGAATAAGTTTTGGTTGTTTAACAATTGTTGCATAATTACGCTTTTTCAATTCTGCATAAGTTAACCAACTTACAGGACATCGTTGTTCATCACTTCCATCACTTAATTGAATATTCCATTCACATGGAATCTCATATAACATGTATTTGAATTCGAATAATATTAAGTTTAAAATATCCTAAAAAGTGGATAAGGAAACGAATAAATAAGTGACGATGTTTGAAATAAGCTGGTGTTAAAACACTTGTATATTCTATAAATCATGGACTGTAATGAACAAATAAGTATTGGCTAAAAGGGGCATCAATTACATATGCACAGTCAGTTGATCTATGTGGATGCTGGGATAGTGTCTGGGTGCCCATACCAGAGCAGGTGGCTTTCTTAGAGGGCCATACCCCGAACCCTTGACCTAAAGGACTGATCCATAAGGCAGTGGAGTAACTTCAAAAGATGCAGTCTCATGGTAGCCATTGACCAACACTGGGTTCATACGCCATTTGTTCACTCAGGATCCTGCAGCCCATGTGCACCGCTGGTATGGAATCATGGTTTCCCAACTACCTTAGGTGGATCCTTCTTATCCACCAACCCGGTTAAACCACCGGATATTCGCTTTTCATCCTCTCAGTTTCGTAAACAACATCCCTGGTGAGAGAAGGCAGTGAGTAGAACTTCCCTGTCAGTGGTGGTATGCACGTGAACAAGTTTGAGTATTTCGAAAAGGAGAGCTGACTCTCACCACTCTCGGTCGTACCAAGGCATTCGGGTGCCAATGTAATGAATATGTTATGCCCTCTCGTTTTCACAATGTGATGAAATCTCAATGTTGTTCATTAAACAATAGATTTATGGCAATTTTATGATTTCTATAACTAACTATTGTTATGTCTATTTCTATCAATAAATTACAGTTGACTTGTTAGTATACACATGATATTCAGAGATGGTATAGAATACTTAATACTCTGATGGATTATTTTTATGGAGTTTCGTTTATCTGAACTAGATGATTGAGTCGTGGATATTCTCGTTCTTTGGTCTGACTCTTTATCATATATTTCTCAATGATTTTTCTGGTTGGTTATTAAACTGCATCGATGGTAACGTGTTTGTTGATTGCTAAGCTCCTACAAATTCGCTGGCGTTCTCATTATTCCCTCCTACCAAGATTTTGACATTTTTCCACTCGAATGTGTGTCCACAATTGTCCACATACATTTATGTAAGTGATAACTTATAAGTCACGATATAGTATTTATTCTTGTGTATACTGTAAAGTATATAGGTCTCTGACCAGTGGATCCGATAGATCCATTTAAATTATAGTTTTTGAGAGTGGAGGTCCAGTTCTTTCGTTTGCTAAGTTAAAAGCTCTTTGGCTAAAAAACTGAGTTATTGTTTTCAGTGTGTAATTCTTCAAGGCCCATCAATCCTGATGTAATTCCAAAATGATGGTCATAAACTGTGTTCCACATCACGATGTGAGGGTAGTCGAAACGATATCTGATTGTGTTATGAGCGTAAATATAGTATGTAATCAATAAACCACTTCCCGTCATGATAGGAAGACGCAAGCATTCAAATAGAATATCCGGCTGCGTGACGTTGTACACTTTCCGTGACTAGTGTAATAATTTGACGATATTGATCTCCCTCCATTCATTTCTAATATATGGTTGAGCTCCGAAGTGACATCAGTACTCTGGTAATTCGCTTTGTGGATATAATTTTCTCCTCCTAATAAGCTAGTTAATATTGTAATTATGTGCTACTGTTTAATAGTGAATGAATTTGTTTCTCAGTAGTCACACTGATGGAACTACGTAGTTCGTAGAGTATTATTCAATTTCTTCTCGTTTGCCGGATCAGTAATCATTAGAATGGTGTCATTAAGATTTTATGTACCTTAGAAACGCGTGTTTGGTAGAAATTTGCAAATTGGTATCTTCATATAGATATTGAAAATCATTAAAAGTAGTTACAATTAATATGTAAGAAGTTTGAACCTACCTGTTCACCAGTGGTTAGGTAACCTTGTTTTGCAAGAGCTCTTTTAGTTTTGTTCATCCATAGTTGATTCCAATTGGTTGATCGTATTTTAGACAGATGAAGTAACAGAACACCGTTGTTATATCCGTAACCCTAAAATAATCATTATGCATATGATCCACCATACTATGCACAGACGAAGTAAAGTTGATTGCACAGACGTTGATGTTCTAGGTATTCAGCTATAGCACTGGCCTAACGGCAATCAGTATAAAAGCTATTTAGAACGCTTGATTATGTATTATAACAGTCCTTTAATAATCTAAACTATGAGGTAACTACGCATCTCACTGAGATAATCATAATTCCTCAAGATTCTGCATATACCTTCCAGTTTGCAAGTACTGAATTACACAAAACTCGTTTCCAAGATGTTCTTGTCAATCAAAGTTTAATAGGCTGGTAAGTACATTTCGACGTGATGGACACAATTCAAATGTCACTACAAAACAAATAAGGTTTTCACAAGTTCTGAAATAAATCATCTACATCCATGACTGCAATCTGATATAAATAAGGGAGAAGTAATTAGCTTTAAATGATTATTGCTTGATAAAAAGCAGGTACTGCGGGAACGTAATTTGTCGGCGAACCAATGAAATTGAGAATAGCATGTCTTGGATTTTCGCGCGAATTCAATTCATCTACATAGTTAAATAACATTTTGACATTAAAGCTGATTGCAGTTCGTGATGAAAATCCTCATTTTCATTCTTAAGCTTAAATGCTAACTCGACATCCGAATCGTAACTCCTCACACTAATTTATAATCTCATTTCGACACTTTGAAGTAGGTGAGCTGACTCCACCTGTAGCTCTTCTAGAGTTAGTGCTGGTCCGAAGCCTGGGTAAAAGTGTAGGGTTGGGGATGAGGTCGGAAACCCCAACCCGTAGAAAAATTCTCTCCAAAAGAACGCAAACTGGATTAAACATATAGGTGAGCTGTGTCTAGGTCAATTCACAGTCGCTCACAGTTCGTCCATAAATTATAGTCTCAGTGCAATTGTTCTTAGAAAGGACAATGATATACAAAGTGTAAATCGTTGCAAATGTAATGATGTCTGAAAGTGTTTAAACTCACTTTCCAGTTGCTGTCTAACTTGGTCATAACTTTTTGAAAATATGGATTTTGTTCTAATCCAATACCTATGCTCTTTGAAAAATACAAAGACATGAAGATTTGAAGTTCGTCAGAAGTATAAATTTGAAACGATCATCAGAAAATATCCTTCAGTAAACTTGATACACACAAAACATTGTCTAGCTGAAGTTGAAAGTTTAGTCTCAATTTGAAATCAACTGTGAAATTAATGAAGAATGTAGAACGCTGACCAGTATTACGTTAGGAATACTCACCAATGACTAAATGTCAAAATTAAACATGCATTTCAGATATTTATTTCAGACGGCTGAGCTGGAACCAAATTATCAATGATATTTCTGGCTTTATTAGCTGATTCATTGCCTGACACATTCAGCATTCAACCTAATAGGTAATAGGTATCCCAACTTCAACATATTGAATTAGTTAAATCATTTAACACACGTTCATTTGACTATTACTTCACTTCATTACTATGGTATTATGTTCTATAGTAGGAATGATGTGGATGTGGATGGCTGGAAGATAGTTAGGGGTCGCCAAACCAAAATGTGGCATCCTGCGTTGTAGCTGACTGACTGAATGACCGACTGACTGAGGATTGATACAGTGTGTACATGCTTAGCACTTGATTATCGCAAACCAGGCAGTGTAAGCGTAGTTATAATCAGTTAATCTTGTTAATACCAAAACATTTGTATTGTTGTATTGATTAACCTCAGCAGTGAATGGTAACCTGATGTGACATTGTATTCTAATTGTTTATGATCATGTGTTTTCTCCGATTTTATTGATTTGTTCGTAAGTGAACTTCGCATGTCCTAAGAATCCTGATGAGGAGATAATATTTTGGTTTGTTTTACTTCTTTTCAATCACTAGACCAACCTGCATTTCATTCAAATCATAAATCCATCAAACCTAAATGTTTGGTTTCAAGTAGTAGACTACTAATAAATAATATCTAGTAGTATATAATCTAACATGACCATGATTGATTAAATTTATATTCTACAATAATTTCAATATTTCAAACATTATGATGAATAATTGTGCGAGAACATGGGCCCGTTCATTTTATTACAATCATATCAGTCTATGACTAGAACTACTCCTTCAAAAATCGTTCTTATCATGATCATGATAAACTGGCGGCCTGCTTCAACATCTGGACTACCTGTTCCTGCCATCAACATATTTCAACAAGTCATCTAATTCTGTTGTTTTGTACATCATTTTGGCTATCAATCACATAACACTTTCAGGTGTGTTTCTGAAGTGTTTACAATCCTTCGTTGTATAAGTTACGAAAGACCAGATCGGTAATATCGTGGTTGTTGACAATATGCAGCGAAAAGAATGTACATTATTTAGATGTCGATTGACTAAACTGTTAACTTTTAACTGTCGATCACTCAATATTCATCTTCCGGATCATCCAAGAAGTAAGAAACGGAAACTTGTTGAAATACAGTGTGCTGAAAATTCTTTATTGCACCACAAATATACTATTGAATGAAGCCGGCCGTCCAATGCTTCGAGGTCATCCATGGTTATCTAGATTCAATTGACTCATGATTTCAATCAGTGGAATTGTTATGTGTTTGTTCTACATCGAATATCAACATTTACTCAATCATAACATGAACAATTATTAGAAACAAACCTGAGTTTCTTCAAAATAATCAAAATGATTCCATAATTCAATAATATCTGTATTAAGTAGTATATCAATATCCAGTACGATTACCTATGAAGGGGAAGGTACAGAAGTATAGAAACAGATTACTCATTCATGATATACTCCCATAACATATCATCGTTTTAATCCAATCAATAATAAGTACTGGTTTGTGTAGTCATCTTCCAGTTATCATTTGATTATATGAAGTTGAAATGAATGGAGCCTGATGTAACCATGCTTGATTGAACGTTTAATTCTAGATATCGACTTCCCTGAAGACCTCCACCCTTAAACCTTCGATATTTTAGGGTATTTATAACACTAAGTAAAGCTGACAATTTAAATGCGTTATGTTACGATTGCGTCGTGAATCAACACGATTAACCATGACGTGAGGCGAACTTAAGCTAAACTCTCATTAATCTATCAATTTCAGACGTTGAGTCAGCAAATATCAGACTGTAGCTACGTTTCTAGGTTTATAGCTCAACAATTCAGCAGTTATCTCAAATATTCATTAGCCTATTGGATATTCATGGATCTCAAATAAGAAATCGTACTTTGTATACTATCATGTTATAAGTAGCATACAATTAGTATGTGATTGATTAGCAAAAATGAAGGATGACAGTAAAATGCAAAACGATACAAATACTTTAATACAATTAACAGTTGGGTATATAATGAACATAAGAATAATAATCAGTAAAATAGTCCTATGTGTAACACATAGGACTGTAGTAGTCACTTCACTACAACACTTCAGGAAAATATACCAAAATTGATAACCATCTCTCATAGTGTCCAATGAAGAATAGGAGTGCATAATTAGTCGTTTTCTAGAATTATCTGGGAAGTTTCCACAAATTCCTAACTAGTCAAAGCAACCTTCGTGACATCTGGAGACATTTTAAAGAGTGTTTGTACCACTTCAGACAAGTTCACTATTCGTCGTGACATACTAACTGATTGAGTGTTATATAATTTAATATGCAAAATGCAATATCATCCATCAGTAGTAAACTTCTTTGGATAACTCTCATAAAGGAATAACTCGGTGTAAAGTTGTGTTCATTATTGATGCTGGTACATCCAGTTGACGAATGCCGAATCTCGTGAACTGGATTCCACTCCCAGTCACCATCCATCTTTACTTATTATTGATCTTCGTTAGAATCTTAATTTATTTTCACAATATTAATTCAATCTTATTTCACTGCATTATTGTTATTCCATTTTCTATTGATTTGTTTATTTTGGCATATGATATGAAGGTCTTTGTTTTCCTCGCAGTAATTCTGTGTATTTTACTGTGGAAGGTGATATCAGCACAAATATGTAGCAATCAATATTCAAATGAGTGCAATAATTGTTGTATATGAAGGGGTAAGGTTAATCTGTTTTAACTATTCTCTTTTTAATCATATTTGAGTTGTAATACAGACTTCAGCTTGATGTAACAATGGTGAGAACAATATGATTAGAAGATTCATTTGTTCCTGTGGGGATATCTGTGTCGACTGTACTACTATGTAACTTAACGAACAAATTAGTGAGCAACTGCTAGATTGGTTTAGAAAGAGCCAGACGAGCATGATACATAGCTTTATCTTAGTGTACCTAGTTGTCAATGGGCATTTGGCCGTATTCCGTTGTATACTTACTTGACTTTTGAGGGGGCTTCGATCCCATCTCTTCCATGACGTAGAAGCTATAAGGATCTGAAATATCACATGATATTGATAATTTTCTCATATCCATTTATCCAAATTTGATCTAGTTTGACGTTCACTTTGAGATACCCTTTCTGTCGACGCGAGTTTCGAAAATTATCGGAGGTTTTCGTTTTATAGCACTTTCAACAACAAATGTCTTTGACATTTCATAAGAATAATCAAACGGAAGAAGTCTGTACTTGTATTTGTATTACGCTTGGTATCAGTCAATCGTTATTATTTTCTCATTTGGATGAATGATTGAATTAGCATGTAATTCACATCATGGATTGATCTCAGTTAGAGAACACTGACAACCAGGGAACATGACATAAACGTACTACTTTTCGAATCTCGTTAGTTAAACCTACTTATTCACATTCATTCAGTATCGTAAAGTATTCTTCTTAAGATCACTACCACTGTATTGTTCTGTTATTATTTCCATTATATAATTTAGTATTATGCTTTTCTGATTACATTATCCTCTGTGTTGACGTCTCATACTTCCTCGGGGAATGTAGTCCTTAAAATTGATTACATGCTTATTAGGGTGGTAATAGAATAAGATTCACTTACTGAACACTGACGTAAACTTGTTTTCTTCATACCACATTGGGAATCAAACACTTAAATATTGTAGTCTATTAATAAAGAAAACGTTGATGATAATATGATGTGAAACTTACTGAGAAAAGATGCAGAACTGTGACTTACTTTATTGATTGTAGGTGGAAGAATTGTTGCAATCATCAATTTTAAAAATGGTTTAGCGCCTGAACTATGTTTAGATTGAATCCACCAAAAATCTGCCTACAAATAATCACACAGATTCAAGTTAATAAAAATATAGTACATTGAAATCACAAGCCGATCTAAGATAGAGAACCATTGAAAACTTGAAAGCACTGGACGACTGTTTCATCCAAGTATTGGATTTCAGCAGTGTGCATCGCAATACCGTATTCGAAATCCGACGCAAGAACTTGGATCTCGCGAGAGAACGCTCGACCTCTAAACTACTAAGTGGACGTCAAAATATGTACATGCTAACTTCAATCAAACTAGAATATTGTAAAATCATCATCTATTGTCTTCGTTAGGTGCATTTTTCATACTTGACACGACATAACTCCACTGTCGTCTCACTAGTGACACAATATTCGCCACAACCTCAAAGCAACAATTCTCATGCACTTGTTAGTGAGAAGCTTCAACAGGAAACTTCTCGAGTTCTAGTGAGAAACCGTGACCAGTTGAGTATGACCGAGTCAGGTACGAGGCAGTTACCTATTCCAGGCAACGAATGAGGTTCGCGTAACCTCGTGAAATCACTGAAGTGAGATTTCAACTCTGTTGGAGGCCAGTTGAGTGGCCTAGTTGTTAGGCATTCATGTGCGAGATCGGAGGTCTTGGATCCAACACGTGAGTTGAGGCCATGAAATGCTGTACCAAGACAAGATGTCTGTCGAGCCCCATTAACTTTTCAATAGTTGTCCATCTAATATCAGTTCGTGATTTAAACTCCACAAAACTCTCATTACATTATAGGAACAATGACGTAACACAGTTAGTTATAATACTGTGAACACTTACCAAATAATCACCACAACTGTAAAAATGATATTCCATATTACGTATTTTCCATGTATTCATCAAATTCAACAACTGACTATTTGATGAAATCGTCGTTATTAAGAAATGAAATACAGTTGTATATGTTGTTGACACATTGTTCATAACAGTTTGACAATCATTCATAAATGGGTCACAAAAGTTTGATAGACAACAAGCCTTTAAATCACATCGAAATCTTCCATTTTGATAATAGAAAATAGATTTAAGTAGGCTATTCAAGTATTGTAGACCTCGATCACCATCAAATAAGATCACAATGTGAATTTTCTTTTCCTATAACGAAACAAACAATTACACTGATGAAGCTATTTAAGTAGTTGGTCAAAACATTTTGTCATAATAACTACGGTGTTTCCCCTCCCTCTGAATACGCAAATTGAAACAATGAATCAAAATCATATTTGTGGTGACAGATTGAAGTGATAATCTGAAAAAGTCACTAAATATTGAGGATTGTATTTAGACAATAATCTTTTACATCTCTTCTGTAAATTGTTTCTTATTATCTCTGTGGATTTTAGGTGACTAAGATTTACTATTGAAAAACGTCGGTTATCACATTCTATCAACTAGAAAATAACGAGCTGATATCACACTAGTCGGATAACTGGAACACTCATTTCTGGGTGAAGTAGGCGCTGAAGTTGTCATCTAGAACAACAACACTGGAAGCTTCTTAATTAGGTTGTCGAACGTAGAAAACGCAACTCATTTACCTCCACCTTAAATTACTCTGTTCCATGACTCAATACTCCCTTATTATACTATAAACTGTCACATGTAAAACAAACTATAAATACGGATTTATAGCTTTAATTAATATTCTTGGAGAGAGAAATATCTTTTCATTGAAATTCATGTGGTTCATATGAAAATGTTTTAAAAGAAAAACATTCCATAGAATAAAATGCACCAAATCAGTGTCTCTGTTGAGTAAATACAGTTGATGAAACATTGGGAAAACAGAATCCTCAGGCACCTTGTTCTGAAGCCTCATAAACGAAGCTCCAATATGAAGTGATAAGTTTACTGAAGTAAAACAGTAATAATAGTTGTGTAGAAGTTTAAGTGATAGTCATATACAGGAGTAACCAGTAGAGCATAATCGTTTTCCTTTCATATAATAAACAGTTTGCAATTAGTTTGTGCATATACTAGTTGCAAACATTTTGAACGGAGAGTCCTCAAATAAATGTTTTGTTACGGATGCTTCAGTTTGTAGTTTCCAATAGTTGAATTTGGTGGAACCTAGAACAGCTTGGAGAACCTGGAGGCACTGAATGGCCGTTTTATCATAGCACAGAACTTCTCAACAATGCATTCATCATCCTGCACGCTGGACTTGTACCAAGGACCTTTAGTCTCATGGACGAACGCTTAACCTCTAGATCATTGAGGCAGTATTGAATGGTGTTAACGTGTAACTTTAACCAATCCACGATATTGAGCGACCGTCCAACATTGTCTTCAGTGTGTAACTGCCTATACAACAAAGGCAATTGAATTCCACTGGTCACGGCTTTTCACTAGAATTCTAGGAAATATTTAACAGAATTTATCATTATTTTGTTTTAAATCGATGAGAAGACGACGTTTAAACGTCCAATTTGTAAACATTCTAGTTGTAATTGTAATATCTAGTGTTTCAACAAAAACTAATTCACTATCAAACTGTTAAATCGTAGTGTACAGTCAAATGTTGCAAGTATTTTTGACTTCATTTGGTAGGAATTAGATTAATGTAACTGCAACTCACACATGATATTCACAAGGAGACCTGAACATAATATTTATCAATTCAGGCACTGACTAGTTATTCATGAAGCTACTTGATAGTTCTGAATACCAACATGTTAACAAAGTGTGAAATTTATGATCTTGAAAAATAAAATATAATAGACACAAACAATATCAAATATCGTGAAGGTGGACGGTGGCTTAATTTCGTGGCTTGGTTGAAATTAGACATTGACATCGTTGGATGTCGACACAGTGGTCTAGATATCCTGGGTTCGGATCCCGCTAGCGGGATCGTTGATGCGCACTTATGAGGACTCCTAAACTAGGACAAAATGGCAGTCCAATGCTTCCAGTTTTCCTATGGTGGTCTAACTTCAATTGATTCATTAACTTAACCATTAAATTATTATAATATCCACAAAATCCTCTTTCTGATAACTCCGTAATCATTAAATAAGTTGATAGAAATCAATAATTTATAATTCATAAATATATGAAATAAAACTATCGAGAACAGAACAGAGCCTTATAGGTATCATCGATATGATTATTGTTAGTTCAATAAAATTCACAACTAGAAACAGTACTTAGGTTTCCTTTAAACAATCTATGATTATTGTTGATTATTTGAACAAAAAAATATTGGTACAAGAAGGCACCAAATAGACGTGCGCGACACAATCACCTGATTTGTATGTGGGCTGTGATACTACCCGGGTGCCCAGACCAAAACAGATGATATTCTTAGGGGGCCACACCTGGAGCCTTTGACCTAAAAGTCTGATCCATAAGGTAGTGGAACAACGTCAAGTGATGCAGTCTCATAGTAGCCATTGACCAACAAGTGGTTCATACGCTATTTGTTCACTCAGGATGCTGGAGCCCATGGTATGAAATCAGGGTTTTCTAACTCCCCTAGGTGGACCTTCTGTATTCATTAACTCGGTTAAACTACCGGAAATTTGCTTTCTGTTCTCTCAATTTCGTAAACAACACCTATGGTGCGAGAATGTATTGAGTAGGACTTTTCTATTAATGGCTATATACACGTGGCCATGTGAGAGTATTTTAAGATGGAATGCTAAGTCTTAACAACCCTTGGCCATACCAAGATATTTGGGATGAAGTATCAATATCAGCAATCAAAACATCAAGTCCTTACAAAAAATTCTATATCAAATAATGAAATAAACTTACCAAAGGATTATTTGTATTGAATGGATCTATTCCATTATAATTATTAGTAGTAGTAGTGCTAGTTTTATTAGGAATAATTACATAGAATATACTCCATGTTATTAACATAATGATAATTAATGATGAAAATAAAATTTTGATATTCAATCGATAATCATTAAAAATATGAAAAAATTGAGAATCTTTACGTTGTTTAAAACAATCTGAAAACATATTTAGGAAAATATTTAGAAGAGATTGGAAACTAATAACAAACATACAAGAAACAACAACAACGATGACAACGACAACAACAACAAACGAGGAAAACGACGACAGTAACAACAACAACGACAACAATGAACACTGACAACGATGACTATAGCTACGTCAACAACAAAATTGAATGGAATTCACATATGTTGCTATGCAATGATTGAGCTGATTAATGAATTATAACAACATATATAAGCGAACAACATTGTTTTCGATTAGAACCTCATCAGGCTTTACTCTAATATACAGCAATATTTATATGCATGTACGAAATTATTAAACCAATCAAGGTAGTTTATAAGTCAGTGATAACAATGAAAACGATTACATAATAAGTGAGACGTGAAAAGTACAAATTGATGGTGTGGCTACAGGATCTAATAAAAAACAATATTGTTTGCTTATATATGTTGTTCTAAATTTACACTATGGGAATATTTCAAATAATGAATTATAGACGATAATTAATCGAAATAGACATTTCAAATGTTACATGTTAACCTATAAAATTTTGAATTCAGATGAATATGATTGGTTAAAAAAGGAAAAGGCTAAATACACGTTTATTGAAGGATATCATAACATATAAATGAATAGAGAGATCTTTTTTGGTTATGGTTTTTTTTATCACAGAGTAAGACTAATGAATATTTGAAACACTTGAATAGCTCTTTCATTCTAATGTGAAACTGATCAATAATCCATGTATATATATGTATATATCAGTCAGTTACAATGTAAGACTAAGCACATATGTGCATCAGCCCAAGTTGCCAGACATAATTAGCACAACAAAATGAACACCGAATTCATAGAAGCAGTTACTTCACTGGCACTTACGCCTGTTACTCCCGATGGAGCATGGGCCGCCGACCAGCATTCTCCAACCTACTCTGTCCTGGGCCTTTTTTTCTAGTTCTATCGCATTCTTGTTCATTTTTCTCACGTCTATCTCCATTTCCGGGCGTAGTGTGTTCTTTGGTATTTCTCTTTTCCTTTGGCCTTGAGGACTCCATGTTAGGGCTTGTCTTGTGACGCAGTTGGGTGCCTTTTTCAATGTATGTCCTATCCACTTCCAGCGCTTCTTCCTGATTTGTTCGGTTTGTTCTCTCTCACAGTAGGTTGTTGCTGATCGTATCCGGACAACGGATCTGAAGTATTTTGCGTAGACAACGGTCAATAAACACCTGTATTTTCTGAATGATGTAGTGACTTACTTTTTTCACGAGAACACGATTGGTTTATTGAAAACAATTATTATTATAACCAATTGTACCAGTGACTGTTTTAATGTGCTTTTGTTTAACTGTGCTAAAAACATCCATTATTCTTACACTTTGATTATGACTTCGCGCAAATTCGGTTACGTTCTGTAACCAAGCTTGTATCCTGGCACGATCTCGGTATCCTTTCGATACCACGAGATCGCCAGCAAATATACCTCGACTTGGTCTATTAACTGCCTTCTGATATTTGGCTTCCGGCGGCTTTTAAGGATTTATTTGACACGCGTTTCTTGGTAGCGGTGTTCAAACTCAACCTTGACTCGATTCCACGCTATAATGTCTTTCGTAGTTCTCCAAGTTTCCGTCCCATACAGTGGTATTGTTATGGCATTTGTATTGAAAATGCTGACTTTGGTGTTGGCTGACAGTTGTTTTCACTTCCCAATGTTCTTTAGTTGTAAATATGCTGCTCTTGTTTTGCCGATCCGCGACTTCACATCTGCATCAGATCCACCGTGTTCGTCACTGATGTTTCCCAAATATGTAAAGGTTTTTACATCTTCCAAATCGTCTCCGTCAATTTTGATCGGATCGGTGCACATTGTGTTGTATCGGAGAATCTTGCTTTTCCCTTTGTGTATAGTAGTTTAAATTTTGGTTTCACTAAATCATTGACAAGTTTGCTGCAGTTTATATGTGTCCTATAACTATGATCATGGTCAACATACCTGCATTTACTACTCTGATGTGTAGATTACGCAACAAGTCTGCTATGAGTACACGAGTCCCTCACTATGAAGTTGAAGAAATATTATTTCATCAAACGATTTTAACCCTAGACGTTGTTATATTCGTTATCTTTATACTGAGTGGTAGAAGATAAGTAAAATAAGTAAAAACCAGAACACAAGTGTTCCTGAATGCATAATTAAGTACTTGAGTTACCTAACATATAAAGTAGTAGTGAATAATCAAAGTATGACACTGCGTTGCGATGGAGCAATTAGATATTCACTCAACTTCTGAGGCTTTTGAGGATTATTTGGAATCTGGAGCATGACTAAGAAAGATGTTAAGTGTGATAAAATTGTGTCACATTTCTTGAAATCCATCTGGAAAGAAGCATACAGCTTAATAAAATCTATGGAATATCCAGAAAAACCTATCTCACTGCCTTATGCAATTCTTGAGGAACCATTATTAAATCATGTAATGTGCACTACATTTGAATGCCGTGAAAGGGCGAAACTTTATAAGATGACTTATAAAAATGGCCAAAAGATTAGGGACTCCATCCTCGAATTGCAGAAAAAGGCTGTCAAATGTACTATCGGTGATCAAATTCATGTGCAATTGGGAGATCAATTAACTGCAGGAAATAACATACCGAGTTTGGGAAGAGAGCTGTTAAGAATGCTGAACTGTTCTTTTCAAGATGCTAGAACTGCATTCATTAATTACGAGGCAGTGTATTAACTTGATATCCAGTCGATGAAAATTTCTGATACTTCGCTTAGTCGTCATGATGAATCATAGTGAATCGAACGTGTTCGTCTGAGAGTGTTTCCTGTTCTCGTGTTGAGTATGAAAGGCGTTTCAACAAGGAATCACAAAAAAAATCACAATGATGGGATGAAGTTTGGTAAATGTTTATCATGTGTCAAATTTCATTTTCGTAATTCATGTGCATTTCGTAATGCTAAATGTTTTAAATGTGATCAGATAGGACACATTCAGTCAGTATGCAAAGCCCTTATGCCTGAAGTAGTACTAAGTCGTGTAATTTAGATCCCAATATTTCAGCTGTTCTTATTGATCACTTATCTTTGTCTACCATTTCGACAGGTAATGCTCATATTCAAAAGCGATTATATACATCGCCTTATTCATGTCTTGACTTGATTGTGGACACAGGCAGTATAAAGTCTGTTATTTCATTCAAGAACTTGGAATCTTTAGATCCTAACGTTTTGGTATAACCCACTGTAGTATCAATATTGAGAATTACTGAACACAGACTGCCCATACGAATATGTTGTGTATTGTTAGTAAGAGATGATAATTCTTCATAAATACCTTGTGAACCTTCAGTTAGCGAAACAGGACTGTCAATACTGGGTTTGAGGAATTTGAAAAGACATAAATTGTAGTTGTTTTCCCTAGTTTCTAAAGAAAACGTCGACACTGTACTTAAAAATTTGAAAGCTACGTGTGCTAAGTGCAGTAGAGGTGTAGCGATAAATAAGTCCCCAAACTAAATAGCTCTGTAGGTTTTCGACATTGGATGCTGACCATATGTTTTAGTGGACTCATCTATCTGAAGGCTGAATTGAGGCACTCTTCCAGAATTGAAAACACTCTGTGTTAGAGGGCAACCAATTATTACCTTCTGAACGAATCTGTGCGTGGTCTATCCAGACAGGATAGTACTTACTTACTTACGCCTGTCACTCCTCGTGAAGGAGCATATGCCGCTCACCAGCATTCCTCACCCAACCCTGTCCTGGGAAATCCTTTCCAGCTCCTTCCAGTTCCTATTCATCCTTTTCATATCTGCTTCTATTATCCGACGTATTGTGTTCTTTGGACTTCCTCTTTTCTGCTTCCCTTCAGGATTCCAAGTTAGGGCTTGTCTCGTGATGCAGTTTGACGATTTGCGTAATGTATGTCCTATCCATTTACATCGTCTTTTCATAATTTCTTCTTCAGCTGGAAGTTCGTTTGTTCTTTCCCACAGAAGGCTATTGCTGATGGTTTCCGGCCAATGGATGTTGAGTATCTTGAGAAGACAGCTATTTATAAATACTTGTATCTTCTTGACGATGGTTGTTGTAGTTCTCCAAGTTTCAACTCCACACAGCAGAACTGCCTTGACGTTGGTATTGAAGATTCTCACTTTGATATTGGTTGAAAGTTGTTTTGAGTTCCATATGTTCTTTAATTGTAGGAATGCTGTCCTTGCTCGTGTTCGGCTGTTGTTTATTGCTGCCTTCTTGTTCTTCCTTTCTTTGATATTGTCCAGTGTTTCTGTAGAGATCCATTCCTTTTGATGATATTTCTTTAGACCCAGAACCTCTTGACACGTTGAAGTTAATGCTTCCGTGATGTCTTTCCAGTTTTCCTCCATACTAGTTTCTCCTTTCTTCAGTAGATCTTGTAAGGCTTGGAACCTGTTGTTGAGATCTATCTTGAATTCATGAGTCTGTCAGTATCTCGAAGGAAGGCTGTATTGAACCCTTGTAGTGCTGTTTGTCCACTTGTCCAGTTCTTTTTTAGCTTCAGTTTTAAATTGGCTACAACTAGGTGGTGATCTGAAGCTGTGCCAGCTCTTCTCCTGGTTCTCACATCTTCCATTGCCCTATGGAATTTTTTGTTGCTGCAAATATGATCTATCTGGTTCTCTGTAGTGTGGTCCGGTGAGATCCATGTAGCCTTGTGTATACGCTTGTGTGGAAATATTGTGCCCCCTATGAACAATTTGTTGAATGCACGTAGATTTGCAAATTTTTCTCCATTTTAGTTTTTCTGTCCCAGTCCATGTCGTCCCATAATATCTTCATATCCAGTGTTGTCTATTCCGACTTTGGCATTTTGATCTCCCATTAGAATTGTGAGGTCCTTTCTTGGGCATTTCTCTATGATTGACTGCAGCCGCTCATAGAATTGATCTTTAATGTCGTCGTTGCTAACATTGGTGGGTGCATAACATTGGATAATATTCATTGTGATCCCTACCCTCTTTGTTTCGAATGATGCTTTGATGATTCTGGATCCGTG